TGTATGGGGAGCTGTACCCATAGTGTTTTCCAGCAGTCCTGAGGAAAATGGTTTTCCCAACAGAATTGAATGGGACTGTGGCACACATTTATGCAGGATGAAGAGGACCTGTCACATGAGCATTGTAATAGGAATACATACTATAAAATATGTCTGTGTAGGTTCTCATTCATCCAGGTCATGGTATGACTTTTTTTTTTACAGACATCCTATAAAAGTGCCACGATCCTATTCTTTTTTTATGTGGAGCTGTGCACATGGCGGCTTTCAGGAGTCCTGAGGAGTACGGCTCTCCCAACAGAATTGAATGGGACCGTGGCACACATTTATGCAGGATGAAGAGGACCTATATATACATTCAGCAATCCCATTCTATATGTATGGGGAGCTGTGCCCATGGCGGCTTCCAATAGTCCTGAGGAGTACGTCTTTTCCAGCAGAATAGAATTGTACCATGTTAGGGATTCACACAGGATGAAGAGGACCTGTCACATCAGCATTGTAATAGGAATATGCACTTTATAAGTACCACAATCACATTCTTTTGTTTATGTGGAGCTGTGCCCATGGTGGCTTTCAGCAGTCCTGAGGAGTATGGTTTTCCCAACAGAATAGAATTGGACCGTGGCACACATTCAGGCAGGATGAAGAGGACCTGTCACATCAGCATTGTAATAAGAATACATACTAAAGTTGCTTTTTGATAATACAATCAAAGCTTTTGTGAAGAAATCCCTTTTTATGTAGTGAGCGCTGCCTTCCGTCTGCCCATCACTTCCAACAACTTCCTTTGCGTCTCTTTCCCCGCTGCTTGATGTGATGCAATCTCCATTTCTCCAGACCTAACACCCCATCATGCATTGCTTCCAGCGAGCAGTGATAATGTTACATTGTCCAGACGTTGAGTTGTCGTTCGGACGGCATGCTCTGTGACAGTGGTGACACTAATGCGGCCACCACATCTAAGGAGTGGGCAGCTGCAACATGTGACATTCCTGTTCCTGGGGTTTAGATCCACTTTAAATTAAAAATGCTACGTCAGATACACCAGAAAAAAAGAAGATACAAATAGAAAAATCGCTAAATTAAATCAACTACTAAATACAAAGAATAAATATAAAGTAAAAATGAATAAAATAAAAATCAGTTAAATCAAAACAACTGCAGTAAAAAGAAATATTATACAAACAAATGAAACTAAATAAAGCAAAAATGAATGAAAATAAAGTAATGAAAAATTTTATGGAAAAATAAAGTAAAAATGAATGAAATAAATAAAATAAAAACAACTGCAGTAAATCTAAATATAAAAAGAAATAAAACAAAAATAAAGCAAAGATGAATAAAAAGAAATAAAATAAAGTAAAAATAAATAAAATTACGATAAAAATAGATATTTTTTTCCAGCATATTTAAAGCACATCAGGGAGGGAAATTGAGTGTTTCCACTTCAGCTCATTCCGGGTTGTGGTTGTTGACTTTGTTTCCATGCTATGACTCCTTAAGTACAAAGGTCTGAGAACAATGATGGGGGTGGGGGAGGAGCAGAGAACTAATGCTCTTCTACCATCTGTCTGCATACATATCTGTGTCCAGGTAGATAATTGGTACACCTGTCCAAACAGGAAGTCCGGCATATGCCGTTTGGAGCATTGTTATCCTAAACAATGGACTCCTGGGACATGTAACGTTTTCAGGAATCTATGTACAGCACCCTGCCGGCCCCTTTATTTTCTGGGGGCGGGGTTAAGCTATATGAATATAAGGTGATGATTATTTTAAGCACCCCCAAATACTGAACTCCCGCCAAATAATTTTTTCACACCATGGATTTCCACTCCTGCATGAAGAGTTGCGAGTTTAGAATCCATCGGTGTCCTTTTGTTCATTGTTCACACCCTGATAAAGGATTCCTGAGTCCGAAACGCGTCGGAGGTGCATATCTTGTCATCGTTCGTGAAGACGATAAAGGTTTTTTTTAATTTCTACTCTTGAGACTCATTTTTTGACTTCTGCCTGGTGCTCTTTTTAGCATTTTTTTTTGCTATATGGTTTTCCCCAACCCCTGTAACTGTTGCTTTTTCTGGACAGCTTGGCCTGTGAAAGGAAGTGGAAATATAACAGATCAACAGCGAATAAACCTGTTACAGGGGGATTCAGAAAATTGAAAACTGTGTTGACAACAATTACTTATACACTATATTGCCAAAAGTATTGGGACGCCTTTATACGCACATGAACTTTAATGGCCTCCCAGTGTCACTGTTGTTGTGCCAATCTGAAGGCCACACAAAGTTTGGAGGTCTGTAGCTATTGACTCTGCAGACAGTTGGCGACTTCTGCGCACTGTGCGCTTCAGCATGCGCTGACCCCGCTCTGTCATGTTACGTGGCCGACCACTTCCTGGCTGAGTCGCTGTTGTTCCCAGTTGCTTCCACTTTGTTATAATACCAGTAACAGGTGACCGCGGAATATTTAATAGCAAGGAAATGTCATGGAAAACCTGAATCCAATGATTTGGAGGGGGAGGGGCCCAATACTTTTGGTAATATATTGTATGTATTTTTTCATTTTACCCGCAGTTCCTCTTTAATGGAGTCCAATGCGTAGCCTTTCGTCTGCCCTCCCAGAATTAATCCGGAGCTTTAATTTGTTCCTATTCATGTTTCCTGCTCCCGACGGCAGATAATTCCCTTCCTGGAAGGCCCGAGCTATTAATACGGTATCGCTTACAAGATTGGTAAAGCTTCATCTCCGATCCCAAACCACCCCCCCTTTGGTAGAAATCACATCATTTAATGGGAATTCTGTGTCGCCATTAATGATTGATGCGTCGTACAGTCTTGTGCGTTAAGGAATCCAAATGGATTATCTTTAGCTCCGCTAAGCACTCTCCTGGCTTTATAAATATTGCAGGATGCGCGGCGGACAGATAAACAGCGTATCACGCCGCGTGCACAATGCTAAATGACAGCTCGGCTGACGAGGACCCCGGTTTATGGAGATGTATTCATGTGTGGAGGCGTTTGGAGGGAATGAGCGCTTCGCTTTGTGCCATTTTGTTTTTCACTTTCCGGGCCGTGATTAGTGTGTTAGAGCGTCCACGTATCTTCAGATATTACCAGATGCCATTAAAAAGCTACAAATATATATTGTGTACATGTGTATATACACCGATCAGCCATAACATTATGACCACCCGCCTAATATTGAGTAGGTCCCCCTTTTCCTGACCAGGCATGGACTATACTAGACCTCTGGAGGTATGCTGTTGTATCTTGATGACCACCCCCCCCCTAATATTGAGTAGTTCCCCCTTTTCCTGACCCGTCCAGGCATGGACTCCACTGGATCTCTGAAGGTATGCTGTGGTATCTGGATGACCCCCCTAATATTGAGTAGCTCCCCCTTTTCCTGACCCGTCTAGGCATGGACTCCACTGGATCTCTGAAGGTATGCTGTGGTATCTGGATGACCCCCCCTAATATTGAGTAGGTCCCCCTTTTCCTGACCCGTCCAGGCATGGACTCCACTAGACCTCTGAAGGTATGCCGTGGTATCTGGCACCAAGCCGTTAGTAGCAGATCTTTTAAGCCCTGTAAGTTGTGAGGTGATTGGCTTCCATGGATCGGACTTGTTTTTCCAGCACATCCCACAGACTATCCATTGGATTGAGATCTGGAGAATTTGGAGGACAAGTCATCACCTCAGACTCCTTTTTGTGTTCCTCAAACCATTCTTCAACCATTTTTGCAGTGTGGCAGGGCTCATTATCTTGCTGAAAGAGACCACTGCCATCAGGGAATACCGTCTCCATGAAGGGGTGTACTTGGTCAGTAACAATGTTTAGGTCGGTGGTACCTGTCAGAGTGGCATGCACATGAATGGCAGGACCCGATGTTTCCCAGCAGAACATTGCCTTGCAATGGGGTAGCCAAACTGCGGCCCTCCAGCTGTGGTGGAACTACAAATGTTCTGCTGGGAAACATCGGATCCGGCTATTCATGTGGATGCCACTCTTGACAGGTACCACCGACCTAAACATTGTTACTGACCAAGTACCCCCCCTTCATGGAACCGGTATTCCCTGATGACAGTGGCCTCTTTCAGCAGGATAATGCTCCCTGCCACACTGCAAAAATGGTTGAAGAATGGTTTGAGGAACACAACAATGAGTTTGAGGTGATGACTTGTCCTCCAAATTCTCCAGATCTCAATCCAATGGATCGTCTGTGGGATGTGCTGGAAAAACAAGTGATGCTTTATCACACTGCCTCTGCCAGCTTGTCTTCTTCCCATGGTACATCCTGTTGCCATCTCTTCCCCAGGTAAGTGACACACACACCCGACCATCCACATGATGTAAAAGTAAACATCATTCATCAGACCAGGCCACCTTCTTCCATTGCTCCGTGCTCCAGTTCTGGTGCTCACGTGCCCATTGTCGGTACGTTTGACGGTGGACACAGTCGGCATGGGCACCCTGACCTGTCTTCCTTGTATGTCATAGCCCTCTCCTCTTCTGGGAGTGTCTAATTACTGTCTGTGCTGGCTCAGCTCTTTCACCCCTCCTCTACAACCCTCTACATATATATCTGCCAGGGGAGGAGTAAAGGGGAATATTATAGAGCAGGGGTAGCCAAACTGCGGCCCTCCAGCTGTGGTGGAACTACAAATCCCATGAGGCATTGCAAGATTCTTGGAGCCACAGACATGACTCCCAGAGAGAGATGCATCACGGGATTTGTAGTTTCACCACATCTGGAGGGCTGGAGTTTGGCTACCCCTGCTATAGAGTGTCACTAAGTCTGTTGGGATCACATCCAAGATGGCGGCACCTAGCAGCAGTCTCGGGGGTTTCGGATGTCTACACAAGGGAGGCTTTTACAGGGAAATACAATGTATGAAGTACATTAGATCCTCATATAATCCTAATTAAATCCATTGCATGACAACCGATATAAAAGGGGTTCATTTTGTCCTTCTCTCTTTATTTCTAGCAAACGTTGGAGTCAAACCTCACCAGCTTGGTCAAGTACAGCAGCGAACTCGAAACGCAGATGGGAAAGCTCATCCAGATCTGCCAGCAGGTAGAGGTAAGAAGACGTCAAAGGATTATTAGGACAATTCTATATGATGATGATGAACGGTCACAGAATGCTTAGCGAGAGCGCCACACTAGCTTGTTTTTAAATACCTTTTACCCCAATGGTTAAAGCCTTGAGGAAGGAGTTTGTGTGTTCTCCCGAGGCGCGTTGGCTGTGTGGTCAATATAACCAATCAATCTTTTTATGTCTCTGATATCTGATCAGTTTGGCGCTCTGCTTTACTTTCTTGTCCGATATCTGAGTCGCTTCCGCCATCTCCCTCATATTATTGAACTCCCTGACCATGAGCGAGTAAGCTGTCTCCAGGGCCGATCAAAAGGAACAACTCAAAACCACTGAAATATTCCCTTCTGCTCCATTTCTCAAGACTACCTCTCCCATCATGCATCGCTTCCAGCAAGCATTGGTGACGTTACATTATTCAGACATTGCTTTACAATGGTACCATGCCATGGACGCACTGGATCGCATAAACAAAGGGCTCCCTGCGTTCTGGGGCGGGAGGGGGCGTGGTGGTGCCATTCATGTCTCCTGCCTGCACTGGAACGCCTGGTACTGCAACCAACACGCCCGGGGCTGGCATGTCAGTTGCCGGTGGGAAGCTGGGGAGGAGAGCGGCGAATGTTCGTTCACTGATCTCCTTCCTGCTCTATGGCACCGGGAGCGACGCATTTTGCATCACTTCCGGTCCCTGAGCTGTCATTGGTCGGCTCCTGAAGCTCAGCAATAAGCTATTGAAGTGCGATCTGCACCCCAATAGATTATATGAATTGTTTGAGAACGTGATGGTTGAGTGGTTGGGTTGAGGTGGGATCGGCTTCCCTGAAGAGATGAGTCTTAAGGGATCGCCTAAAGGCAGTCAAGGTGGGCGACAGACGGACAGGTTGGGGTAAAGATTTCCAGAGGATGGGAGAGATTCTAGAGAAGTCCTGGAGGCGAGTATGGGAGGAGTTGACCAGGGAGCTGGAAAGCAGGAGGTCTTAGGAAGAGTGGAGTGGACGCTTAAGTCCCTGCCCCCGCGATCATGCGCGTCGGGTGCGCCTACTTACGAAACGACAATCGCGCTACACATGTTGGGTATCGCCGCGCACACCAGAGCGAGAGCAGTAATTCTAGGGCCAATATTTACTTTTATCTCTAAACCGATGACCTGTGGGGGGCTTTTAAAGCGTCGTCTGTGGACTTTTTGGGGTACTGAAATTTGACGCCGTTTGACGGACGCACGCAATTTTTAACCTGGGCGTGTTGGGTATCTATTTACTCGTTGTCACCTCGTCTTTTATATTTTATTAAACAAATTGGTATTTTATTGTGTTTTGGGGCGCTAAATTTAATTTAAGTGCATTTTTTAAACTACATTTTGGGGTTTGATAAGAGTTGCGTCAATATCCTGCAACATAAAAATTTGCAGCTGCCGCCGTTTTATTCTACCCGGTGTCGGCTTTCACAAAATGTATAAAATGTTTTGAAGTAATTTTCAGGCCTAAAAGGTGGATTATAACGGGTGCAAAAAAAAACCCCCAAAAATCCTTGGCAGCCAAAGGGATAAAATGTTGCCTATGGTCAAATGTTTTATTTGTTTTGGCCTTTTCACGGGCGTGCGCAATTTTAAGGCTCGACATGTTTGGTATCTATTCATCCGACACATTGGGTATGATATTGTAGAAATGTCGTACCGCAATAAAAAAACATTTATACTAGCTTTCTCTTTTTTTATTCTCTGCTTTCAGAAAATATATAATTTTAGGGGGCCTCCGCTTTCAGAAAATTTAGAATTTTTGGTGCCTCTGCTTTCAGAAAATAAATTATTTTTGGGGCCTCTAAGGAGGAAGGTGAATGTGAGGGTCAGGACAGTTCACGCGGCCGCCAGCACGCCATGGAGCGGGAGGGAAGGGTATCAAAGCTCCGCCGTCGGATTCTTCGCATCCAGCTACAGACGTTCCTCCGGATCAGACGTTTTGTGTGATCCAAAAAGATCATTTAAAAAATTCACAATATTAACCGCAGAGACGCGGCCGGTAGCAGAGCGAAGCCAGTCCGGACTCCGATGTAATCCGTTCCAGTTGTTCATATCATTTGTCTCAGCAGGGCGTGTATTGATAGCCTGATGTTAAAGTGAACCTGTGGCTGAGATATGATTATTTAAGTGGATGAGGCCCAACTTTGGGCTAAGTATCTCCCTCTTAAAACCCCCTCTAACCCATCCTGCCAGGGGTTGAGCTGCTGAGTCATTGCTGGGAGGGGGAGCAGAGCTGGGCTGTTGAATAACTGTTGGAAGGGAGGAGTATGGCAACTGAGCTGCTAAGTCACTGCTGGGAAGGGGAGCAGAAGTGGCTGGGGCAGCTGAATCACTGCTGGGAAGGGAAGCAGGAGTAGCTAATCTGCTGAATCACTGTTGGGAGAGGGAGCAGATGGAGCTGGGCTGTTGAGTCATTGCCGAGCTTGTACTTTGTATGAACTGTCACAACCAAACGAAACCCAGATGTCTGACTTGCTGGAGGTTTATGAGACGACCCAACCCAGAGTGCTATATGTTCTGGGGAAATGGTGGACATGAGAAATAGACCCAACACCTGGAGTGAAGGACCATAGAGGAAGCATCTCTTGTAGAGACTTATGGAGCCCTGATAAGGACTCGTGTTCTGCTTGCTCCCTTTCCTCAGAGTGCCTTTAATGGACCTGGTGCTACACATTCCCTGTCTCCCGTATCACACATTCGAGGGGAAAAAAGCCAAAATTTTCCAAATGAATTGCTCACAAGTGTATGTTTTGCTTCCTTTTAAAGATTTATGTGTTGCAGGCATCTCTCTTCATGCTCCAATGCCTATAACTGAGCTCATTGCCTCTCCCTTAATAAATGCGCCTAATGAAGCTGACAGTCACATGTCCGGCAAGGAAACGGTGAGATTGATGCCAGGGAACACCATCGAGATAAAAAAAGAAGTTCTGCTGTGTAACTGCGGAGATAATTCTACATTGTTATTACTTTTAAATAAAAATGTGACTCTGCAGAAGAGCCTTCCAGCTGCTGTGTATGACCTGGGATTCTCTATGACCTCTTGGTTTTAGCTCTTCTGGCTGAACAGACCTATTCTAGAAGGTCTCCCAGCTGCTGTGCATGACCTGGGATTCTCTATGACCTCTTGATTTTAGCTCTTCTGGCTGAACAGACCTATTCTAGAAGGTCTCCCAGCTGCTGTGCATGACCTGGGATTCTCTATGACCTCTTGGTTTTAGCTCTTCTGGCTGAACAGACCTATTCTAGAAGGTCTCTTAGCTGCTTTGCATGACCTGGGATTATCCGTGACCTCTAGGTTTTAGCTCTTCTGGTTGAACAGACCTTTTCTAGAAGGTCTCCCAGCTGCCCTGCATGACCTGGGATTCTCTATGACCGCCTGGTTTTAGCTCTTCTGGCTGAACAGACCTTTTCTAGAAGGCCTCCCAGCTGCTGTGCATGACCTGGGATTCTCTATGACCTCTTGGTTTCAGCTCTTCTGGCAGAACAGACCTTTTCTATAGGGTCTCCAAGCTTCTGTGTATCACCTGGGATTCTATGTGACCTCTTGGTTTTAGCTCTTCTGGCTGAACAGACCTTTTCTAGAAGGTCTCCCCGCTGCTGTGCATGACCTGGGATTCTCTGTGACCTCTTGGTTTTAGCTCTTCTGGCAGAACAGATCTTTTCTAGAAGATCTCCCAGCTGCCCTGCATGACCTGGGATTCTCTATGACCTCCTGGTTTTAGCTCTTCTGGCTAAACAGACCTTTTCTAGAAGGTCTCTCTGGCAGCTGAGCATGGCCTAGGATTCTCTATGACCTTTTGGTTTTAGCTGCTTTGCATGACCTGGGATTATCCGGGACCTCTTGGTTTTAGCTCTTCTGGCAGAACAGACCTTTTTTTTAGAAGGTCTTTCAGCTGCTGTGCATGACCTGGGATTCTCTATGACCTCTTGGTTTTAGCTCTTCTGGCTGAACAGACCATTTCTAGAGGGTATTCCAGCTCCTGTGCATGACCTGGGATTCTCTATGACCTTCTTGGTTTTAACTCTTCTGGCTGAACAGATCTTTTCTCGAAGGTCTCTTAGCTTGCATGGCCTGGGATTCTCTATGACGCAGCAAAGTCACATACAAGGCCAGATGTCAGAACCCAACAGGCAGATACGGTACCAGAAGACCAGAGCAGATCTCCGGGTGTCTGGATGAATCCTGGGACTGCTCTGGGCCTGGCTGTACATAATAACGTCTGTCCCTGTCATTAGCTCGGTGAACGCGCTGTATTTTCTATAGCACGGACCAGCAAATGTCCAGAATCTTAAAGCGAACCCGTCAGCCAATTATATTTAAAGCTGATTTAAAAAACCCAAAAACACACCTAAGGGTAGACATTGATGAATGCTTTCCCTCTGTTGACCAGGGAACCCGTTTTCTTGTTGCCTCCCTGAACTCTTACAAGGGGCCATGAAATTAGGACTCAGCACTGCCACCTCATTCCAATACGTCCAATACGTTTAACCCCTTCATAACTGAGGCCTTTTTTTTTCTTCATTTTTTGCACACATATTATATTCCACATTTTAGGCCTGAAAATTACTTAAAACCCTCCAATCCCCCCATGTTTTCTGAAAGCCGAGATCCTATAGAATAAAATGGCGGCAGTTGCAAATTTTTATGTTGCACGATATTAGCGCATCTCCTCATAAAACCCCAAAATGTAGTGAAAAATGTACTTAAATGCCCCAAAACACAATAAAATACCCATTTTTAAAATACAATATAAAAGACGAGGTTACAACGAGTAAATAGATACCCAACATGTCCAGGTTAAAAATTGTGTGCGTCCGTGAAACGGCGACAAAATTCAGTACCCCAAAATGTCCACAGACAACGCTTTAAAAGCCCCCACAGGTCATCACTTTAGTGATACCCAAAAATACTGATCCTAGAATTATTGCTCTCACTCCGGCGTGTGCGGCGTTACCCAACATGTCAGAT